CAAACACACCCGTTTCCCCAACAAACAACCCAATGAGGACCGAACATGGGCAAATGTCCTCTTCACAACTTCAGAAAGGTTCCCTTAAAATAATCTTGTAGAGGCCAACATAATTCAAGGAACTTCCTGACGTGTTAAAGTGTACATTAGGAGCCCTAAAGTGAATACCTGTTTCCTCAAAGCATTGACCAATCACAAAACAAAGCAGGCAAAATATGAGATACATGGTGAGGACAAACAGATATCTTTTACCAATTAAGAGAGCACCTCTTCTACATACGTGCTGCTAAGCATGCTTTATAGTTTTACTCAAGCCCAAACTAGTTTCTAAACCAGAAACAGTTATCCTGGCAGCTTTTTGTGTGTGTCAAAAGCATGGTTCGAATGATTTTCCCCTCTCAAATTAGGAAAAGAATGAAACCTTTGGGTCTTCTTCGGATATATGGGAGTAGCTCATGGCCAGAGCAGGAGGTGCTTCCTCCTGCTCTTTCAGAGTGAGGCATCCCCGCCCCAAATTTTCTGTGAAAGGCCCCTTTGTGATATAGCCACCTTGTATCACATACAAAGCTCACCAAATTACTTTGGAGAGAAATGAATATACAGTAAAGATTTACTGAAGTCACCCATAACTGAGCACTGTCAGGAGAATACTCTTGGTCCTGGATCATCATCCCACCACTGTTGTTATGGATGGTTTCATTAGGCAGTTACATTTGTTCTTCTTTAAAGTAACTTTCCAAACTTTCACATTCTTTTATATATGTCATGTGGCCACTCGCCATGCTAATTGCATCAGTAGCCCAGTTATTATCCCAGGAATCCAGGTCTAAACCTCTCACAGTGTAGAACATAATGATGAACAAAAGGTTCTGTTTTTTTCCTAATTGCAGCACCGGGTCCACACCATCCTGACAGCAGATCTGGTCATGGTGATGAAACGAGGGGTCATTTTGGAGAACGACACCCCCGAAAATCTCCTGGCTCAAGAAGATAGCATTTTTGCATCTTTCGTTCGGGCTGACATGTGAAAGAGGCACTCAGTTGCATGCGGTTGGCTTTTTAATGCCTGATTTTTCAATAAAGGGGGGGGAATATATTTTCTATATACTGTAGTATCACAGAAAACTTTGGAAGGTTTTTTTTCCATCTGTAACTTTTATAAAACTGAACTGCATTATCTATGCTTTAAAGAAATAAATTTTTCTTCACAAAAGTCTAGACAGTTTTGTCTTACATTATAATTGGGTTCCTTCTCATGAACAGAGTTGGTATTTCTAGTTCTACTTGCGTCACTCAATCTAGCCAGGCTGGGCGGCTGAGGGTTTGACCCCCGAGAGAGGCCCGCAAGGAGAGAACTAGAAACCGGGCCTTCTCGGCGATGGCCCCTCGCCTCCAGAACATCTTCTCCCCTTGAGATTCGCCTGGCTCCCTCATTTGGAGTTTTTAAGAACAAGCTGAAGACTTGGTTCTTCAGGCAAACCTCCCTACCCCCTTCCATTTCTTAATTCCCTGTGTCTTATCATCTTGGACCTTTCTACGTTGTTTGATATTGTTTGTTTTAAATTTTGTTTGTAAGCCGCCCAGAGTAGATTCATTGAATCTAGATGGGTGGGGGTAAAAGTTGGAAAACAAACAAACAAACAAACTTTGGAATTGATTTGCTTCATGTTAAGAATTTAATGCAGACATTATCTGTTGTGTGCCAAGTCACATAGCGCAGAACAGGTGCACAATTTGCATAAAACTATGACTGCCGCTTTGACTTTTAAGAATGTGAAGCATTGAATAGGTTGCTCATGTCTTTCTTAACAATCAGTCAGTGCTTCTGTGCTTTCTTAAGAAGATTTTTTAAAGTTTTGCACTGACATACTGTATTTTGCACAAATATTGGTGGCCTAATGGTGTCACAATGCAAAGGTCTGGCTACAGAGCTAGGAAACACAATCCTACTGCCTAGTCACTTGATTATATACACATATTTGTTATCGGAAGAGTGCTACAAACCATTGCAATACAGAATGTTTGGTACCAAGAAAAAGTGAAATAGGGCAGGAACAATTGCTCATAATGAGGACATATTACAATTTCTCACACTGCTAGGTTCCTTATTGCTCAAAAGAAACATGTTTGGTTTGTCTATGGAGCCATGGTTCAAAATTAATTAATTATTGTTATTTATAGAGTACATAAAATCATAGATGAAGTTGCAAGAGGCTATAAGGCCATCAAGTCTAACCACCTGCTCTAGGCAGGAATCCAAATCACAGCAGATCTGACAGATGGCTGTCCAATTTTCTCGGATGCCTCTAGCATTGGAGCACTCACCACTTCCCAAGGTAATTGGTTCCGTTGTTGTACTGCTCTAATACAGTGGTGCCCCGCATAGCGAGGTTAATCCGTTCCAGATTAACCCTCGCTATGCGAAATCGTCGCTAAACGGGTAGGGAAAATGCGAGGGCAGGGCGTGAAAACGGCTGCCGGCAGCCATTTCCGGGCTTAGCGAAGGCGCGAAAATGGCTGCCAGCAATTGGAATCCTCGCTGAACAGGTAAGTAAGAAAGGTACTGGAACGCATTAAACTAAGTTTAATGCGTTTCAATACATTTCCCCTACCCGTTTAGCGACGATTTCGCATAGCGAGGGTTAATCTGGAACGGATTAACCTCGCTATGCGGGGCACCACTGTATTAGAGCAGTACAACAACGGAACCAATTACCTTGGGAAGTGGTGAGTGCTCCAATGCTAGAGGCATCCGAGAAAATTGGACAGCCATCTGTCAGATCTGCTGTGATTTGGATTCCTGCCTAGAGCAGGTGGTTAGACTTGATGGCCTTATAGCCTCTTGCAACTTCATCTATGATTTTATGTACTCTATAAATAACAATAATTAATTAATTTTGAACCATGGCTCCATAGACAAACCAAACATGTTTCTTTTGAGCAATAAGGAACCTAGCAGTGTGAGAAATTGTAATATGTCCTCATTATGAGCAATTGTTCCTGCCCTATTTCACTTTTTCTTGGTACCAAACATTCTGTATTGCAATGGTTTGTAGCACTCTTCCGATAACAAATATGTGTATATAATCAAGTGACTAGGCAGTAGGATTGTGTTTCCTAGCTCTGTAGCCAGACCTTTGCATTGTGACACCATTAGGCCACCAATATTTGTGCAAAATACAGTATGTC